TTTTGTGTGTTTGTTTCTGTGATTGGGCGTTTCTTCATTTGAGAATGACTAAAAGCACTTTCAGAAAAAATGTTCAAATGTTTTTTTTTTCTGAAGCACTTGAATTTTTAATGAAACTTTGTGGTGGATTTACTTCTACTAAAGTAAAAATACTTCCAGCAAAAGCACTTATGATGAGAAGTGCTTTTTCAGAGAAGCGTTTTAATAAATCTTCATGCTTTGTGTGGTTTTATGTGTGCTTGTGGAACCATGATGGTGAACTTCAGGGTGTTGAATTGTGCAATTTTTTTCATGTGTGTGTGTAAAAGCCAAAACATTTTTGTGTTCACTGAAATTTGAACTTGGAGGCAGATTTGATGTGGCTGGACGTGTGACTGGGTTTGGGAATCCTGATTGGGCGAGGACTCACCCGGCTGCTGAGTCAACAGCTCCGGCTGTTTCAGCAATATTGAGTGGAGGTGCCACAAGTATTGGTATAACTGTCATGGATGAAATGGCATACTGGTTAGTGCAAAGAGGCCTTGTCTTACTTCACATGCTTAAACTTGCATTACTGTTTTGTTTGCAAAAATTTTCACAAATGATTGATCACTAACAAGTCTCTTTTCATGGTAAAAGTATTTATATCATGATTTTGTACATTTGAAAATCACTCGACAGAAATGCTCTTGAATTTAGCATTGTGTTGTTGGCAGTATAAATGGAGAGAACAAGCATTATGGCACACCCAGAAATCCGTGCGCACCAGATAGGGTGCCTGGAGGCTCTTCTAGCGGTTCTGCTGTTGCCGTAGCTGTAGGCCTCGCAGATTTTTCCTTAGGTAGGTTATTCCATGCGTGCTTTTGTTGTTTTCTTGCTTCTTTATGTTGAAGCACAAGACCCTCAATTTTTCAGGAACCGACACTGGAGGAAGTATAAGAGTTCCTGCTTCATATTGTGGAGTTTTTGGGTTTCGGCCATCTCATGGTGTCATTTCTACCTCTGGAGTTACTCCCCTGGCACAAAGTTTCGATACAGTGGGTGAGAAATCAATGACATTTTATATTGCAGACTGGCTTAGGAAATTGATTTCTGGTTGTGACAAAAAAAGTCATGTTTCAGTTTTCCCTCGATTTTATATAACAGGAAATCTCTATTTCTGTTGCTAGAATGTAGCTAACTTCTTCCGCTTTAATGATTCATATGCCATCCAGGCATTCTGCATTTTTGTTGATTATTTACTTGTGACACTTCTGTGTTTAAGTTTTTCTGCAATTGGAAATATAGTACTTCGAAAGCTTTACCTATGCGAATGATCTATCTAGCACTCTAAGCAATTGGAAACCATCCTTTTGACACTAACTTCTGATATAGGATGGTTTGCAAGGGATCCTGCGATTTTGAATAGAGTTGGACGAGTGTTACTCCAATTGCCTGATACAGGTCCTGTCGTACCCACTCAGTTAATCATCGCAGAAGACTGTTTCCAGCTTTCAAGTGTTCCAAGCAGTCGAGTGAAACAAGTACTTGTTGACTCAGTTGAGAAGTTATTTGGGGGTAAGTGATTTGACCATATTCATCTGTTTTCATCTCTTGCTGTAAGTACTTTGATTGACATGAATCGAGTCCAATTTATAATTCCCTCGCATTTTAAGACACAAATAGACCATTAAATTCAGTAGACAGATTATTACCTGAAAATCATCATTCACTTAATTAAATTAGGTCTCCTGCTGAGATAGGGACAAGTTCATAACATGGAAAGAAGAAGCTCACTCGTTATATCTGCAAATGCAGGTCATGTTATAAAACATGCTAACCTTGGGGACGTTGTCAAGGACAAAGTTCCAAGCTTGAACTCTTTTCTGGATAAAGGAAATCCAAGTGAAGAGTACATTATACCGTCATTGGCAGCCCTATCAACCGCCGATCGTCTACTTGAAAGGTGCTGATTTTGGTCGACTTGAATATGAGTGTGATAATTTCTGCATCTTCATCTTGATCAACAAAATTCAAATTTGTCGTTCATAATGAATTCCAAATTTATCATTTGGTTGATAGAATAGGTATGAATTTCAAGAGCAACCATGGTGAATGGGTTAGTACAGTCAGACCTGACTTAGGTCCCGGGATAGGAGAACGTATATGGGCAGCTGTTCGGTCAACAGATGAAAATGTCGATGTTTGTCACTCCGTGATGACTGAATTGCGTGCTGCTCTTACTGACCTTCTCGGGGTACTCTCTCTCTCTCTCTCTCTCTCTCTCATCTTTGACAAAACTGTTATTTGTTAGCATCTTCCTTCCTTTTGCTCTTAAAAAGGTACCTTTAGCAGAAGAAATGGATGATACATACCGTCTCTCTAATGAATACATAACACAATCTCTTTGATTTACTCATCAGGATTTCGGTGTCCTCGCAATGCCTACAGTTCCAGGGGATCCACCAAAAGCTGCAAACAGATCCTACAACACTGCACAATTTTCGTGCCAGGGCTTTCAGCTTCCTATCCATTGCCGTAGTTTCCGGATTCTGCCAGGTTTTTAAGCCCTCTATCTATCTCTACTTCTCCCTCCCCCTCTCCAGTCTCCATGTTTGTATATGACTACGACGATCTTTTTCTTCTTCAATGACTGCAAATATCTTGTGAAAGTTTGTAACGTATTTCTACGTATTTGCAGGTGACTATATACCACTAGGGATGTACGATAACCTACCCGTTTCAGTTTCCTTGCTGGCAAAGCATGGCTCGGACGGGTTCCTGCTCAATCTTGTCGAGACTCTTTACGACACTCTCAAAGAACACGTCGGGAAGTTGTGAATGTTGACTACAAGATTTTGAGTTGCAGACTCTGATAATCTTTTCCTGATATATGTGTGCTTGTAAGTTTTGCTAGTTTGGTATTGTTATGTTAAAAAAAAAAAAAAAAAAAGCAGAAAGAACAGCTGTAAAATAAAGTTGTTAAGCGTTTAATAAACTTTTATTGTAAAAGTGCTTGTAAAAAAAAGAAAACAGTATCTGAGTGTTTATGTCAACTTTTATATAAAATTAATGTGAATATGTTAAATACTAAAAATGATATGGCATTTAATGTGATATAATAACGGAACTGTTATTAGCATTCCAAAAATCTCATTCTTACACTCCTCACAAGTGTTTTTTTTTCTTTCTAATTTATAGAAAGTTTGGAATGTCAAATGAGACTTTTGGAATGCTAATAATAATTCCCTATAATAGTTGTCAAAGATAATATTCCACGGGCAACGATTGTTATTTTGTAAAAAAGGCAGGGGTATACTTGCTATTTGAAAATTTCATCAAATGGCCACTGTTCACTATGCTTAGATAATTTTAAAGCATAGTAGATCCTACTTCTGCTTTTCTATGCTTTTTTGTTGTCATTGACAACAATTTTTTAAATAAGCTTTTTTTTTTTTTTACCAAACACATTTGAGGTCGCACTTGGTGCGCACTTGGTGCGATGGCAAGTGCCTTCGCCCATGAGCGGTAGGTCTCGGGTTCGAGACTTGAGAGCAGCCTCTCCATAAATGGGGGTAAGGCTAGCCGACATTCACCTCTCCCAAACCCTGCGTAAAGCGGGAGCCTTGTGCACTGGGTACGACCTTTTAAACACATTTGATGTTTCAGATTTTATGGTAAGTTGTTTTTCCTGCTTTTAAGTACCACTTTATCGATTCTCAATGTCTAACGACCACAGTGAGGACTTAAGCAACCTCCAGAATTTCCAGTTTGTCCTCACTGGCTGAAGTGACCGCCTTATCAACACAGATTTTTTTTAAGGAATAATATTTGTCCTCACTGGCTGAAGTGATCATCGCATGATTGATGAGTGGAGAGCTGTTCACTTCTGTCATCAAATGTGGAGCTGCTGCTGAGGCTGAGATTGTCTGAGACAGCAGTGGCAGAGAGGGATGGCGATAGACTCAGAACATGGAGCTTTCGTGGAGAAATTCCTTCTTCGGCCGCCGTCTTCGTCACATGACCTTCCTCTGAGCAGCCTCACCTTTGCTGTTAAAGACATGTGAGAGCTACTCTCTTAAATTTTCCTCATTTATATCACTCTTCTATTTGGTGGATGCTTGCGAATTTCGGATTTGAATTCAAGCAGTTTTCTCCAACAACAACCCAATTTTGTGGGTTGTTTCTGTGATTGGGCGTTTCTTCATTTGAGAATGACTAAAAGCACTTTCAGAAAGAAAGAAAAAAGTTCAAAAGTTTTTTTATTTTTTATTTTTACCTGAAGCACTTGAATTTTTAATGAAACTTTGTGGTGGATTTGCTTCTACTAAAGTTAAAATACTTCCAACAAAAGCACTTATGATGAGAAGTGCTTTTTCAGAGAAGCGTTTTAATAAATCTTCCTGCTTTGTGTGGTTTTATGCGTGCTTGTGGAACCATGATGATGAACTTCAGGGTGTTGAATTGTGCAATTTTTTTTTTCTTGTGTGTGTGTGTGTGTAAAAGCCAAAACATTTTTGTATTCACTAAAATTTGAACTTGGAGGCAGATTTGATGTGGCTGGACGTGTGACTGGGTTTGGGAATCCTGATTGGGCGAGGACTCACCCGGCTGCTGAATCAACAGCTCCGGCTGTTTCGGCAATATTGAGTGGAGGTGCCACAAGTATTGGTATAACTGTCATGGATGAAATGGCTTACTGGTTAGTGCAAAGAGGCCTTGTCTTACTTCACATGCTTAAACTTGCATTACTGTTTTGTTTGCAAAAATTTTGACAAATGATTGATCCCTACAAGTCTATTTTCGTGGTAAAAGTATTTATATAATGATTTTGGACATTCGAAAATCACTCAACAGAAAACGCCCTTGAATTTTGCATTGTGTTGTTGGCAGTATGAATGGAGAGAACAAGCATTATGGCACACCCAGAAATCCGTGCGCACCAGATAGGGTGCCTGGAGGCTCTTCTAGCGGTTCTGCTGTTGTCGTAGCTGCAGGCCTCGCAGATTTTTCCTTAGGTAAGTTATTCCTTGTGTGCTTTTGTTGTTTTCTTGCTTCTTTAAGTTGAAGCACAAGGCCCTCACTTTTTCAGGAACCGATACTGGAGGAAGTGTAAGAGTTCCTGCTTCATATTGTGGAATTTTTGGGTTTCGGCCATCTCATGGCGTCATTTCTACTTCTGGAGTTACTCCTCTGGCACAAAGTTTCGATACAGTGGGTGAGAAATCAATGACATTTTATATTGCAGACTGGCTTAGGAAATAGATTTCTGGTTGTGACAAAAAAAAGTCATGTTTTGGTTTTCCCTTGATTTTATATAACAGGAAATCTCTATTTCTGTTTCTAGAAAGTAGCTAACTTCTTCCGCTTTAATGATTCATATGCCATCCATGCATTCTGCATTTTTGTTGATTATTACTTGTGACACTTCTTTGTTTAAATTTTTCTGCAATTGGAAATATAGTACTTCGAAAGCTTTACCTATGCGAATGATCTATCTAGCACTCTAAGCAATCGGAAACTATCCTTTTGACACTAACTTCTGATATAGGATGGTTTGCAAGGAATCCTGCAATTTTGAATAGACTTGGACGAGTGTTACTCCAATTGCCTGATACGGGTCCTGTCGTACCCACTCAGTTAATCATCGCAGAAGACTGTTTCCAGATTTCAAGTGTTCCAAGCAGTCGAGTGAAACAAGTACTTGTTGACTCAGTTGAGAAGTTATTTGGGGGTAAGTGATTTGACCGTATTCATCTGTTTCATCTCTCGCTGTAAGTATTTTGATTGACATGAATCGAGTCCAATTTATAATTCCCCCGCATTTTTAAGACACAAATTGGCCATTATGTTCAATAGACAGATTATTAACCGAAAAATTATTCACTTATTAAATTGGGTCTCCTGCTGAGATAGGGACAAGCTCATAACATGGAAAGAAGACGCTCACTCGTTATATCTGCAAATGCAGGTCAAGTTATAAAACATGCTAACCTCGGGGATGTTGTCAAGGACAAAGTTCCAAGCTTGAACTCTTTCTTGGATAAAGGAAATCCAAGTGAAGAGTACATTATACCGTCATTGGCAGCCCTATCAACCGCCTTTCATCTTCTCGTAAGGTGCTGATTTGGTGGACTTGAATATGAGTGTGATAATTTCTCTGCATCTTCACCTTGATTAACAAAATTTAAATTTGTCGTTCATAATGAATTCCAAATTTATTATTTGGTTGATAGAATAGGTATGAATTCAAGAGCAACCATGGTGAATGGGTTAGTACAGTCAGACCTGACTTAGGTCCCGGGATAGGAGAACGTATATGGGCAGCCGTTCGGTCAACAGATGAAAATGTCGATGTTTGTCACTCCGTGATGACTGAATTGCGTGCTGCTCTTACTGACCTTCTCGGGGTACTCTCTCTCTCTCTCTCTCTCTCTCTCTCTCTCTCTCTCTCTCTCTCTCTCTCTCTCTCTCATCTTTGCACACGCCAAAGTTCATTTTAGGAATCCGTCACTTCATATCTAACGAGTTCGTTTTGTTAGAGTAGAGAGACTGACAAACTGTTATTTTTTAGCATCTTCCTTCCTTTTGCTCTTAAAACGAAACTTTTAGCAGAAGAAATACTGTCTCTAATGAATACGTAACACAATCTCTTTGAATTGCTCATCAGGATTTCGGTCTCCTCGCAATGCCTACAGTTCCAGGGGATCCACCAAAGCTGCAAACAGATCCTACTATATTGGACGCTTTTAGTGCCAGGCTTACAGCTTCCTATCCATTGCCGTGGTTTCCGGATTCTGCCAGGTTTTTAATCCCTCTATCTATCTCTACCTCTCCCTCCCCCTCTCCATGTTTGTATACGACACATTACGATCTTCTTCTTCGTCATTGACTGCAAGTATCTTGCGAAAGTTTGTAACTTATTTCTACGTATTTGCAGGTGAGTATACCTCTAGGGATGTACGATAACCTACCTGTTTCAGTTTCCTTGCTGGCAAAGCATGGCTCGGACGGGTTCCTGCTCAATCTTGTGGAGACTCTTTACGACACTCTCAAAGAACACGTCAGGAAGTTTTGTGAATGTTGACTACAAGATTTTGAGTTGCAGATCTGATAATCTCTTCCTGATATACATGTCCTTGTAAGTTCTGCTAGTTTGGTATTGTTATGTTAAAAAAAAAAAAAAAAAAATGTTTCTGCTGTGTTTTGAGAATAAAGAGCTATAAAATAAAGTTGTTGAGCGTTTAATAAACTTTTATTGTAAAAGTGCTTGTAAAAAAAAAAAAAAAAAAACAGTATCTGAGTGTTTTGTAAACTTTTATATAAAATTAATGTGAATATGTTAAATACTAAAAATGATATGACATTTAATGTGATATAATAATTGTCAAAGAGAATAGTACACGGGCAACGATTGTTATTTTGTAAAATATGCAGTAGTATATTTACCATTTGAAAATTTCATTAAATGGCCACTGTTCACTATGCTTAGAAAAAAAATTTATTTTTTTTAGAAGCATAGTAGACCTTGTTTTTGCTTTTCTATGATTTTTTGTTGTCATTGACAATAGTTTTTTTAAATAAGCATTTTTTTTTGGTTTTATGAAACGCATTTAATGTTCCAGATTTTTGCATAAGTTTTTTTTTTTTTAATAAAAGCACCACAACTCCAAACTATCGTAAGGTCTAAAATAGACAGGAATTTTCCTGCTTTTATCCTTCTATATGGTTCATGAGCAAGCTATCAAGCTTATATGTTGCTCTCATCGTCTCATTTTAACATGAAAGTGGTTTCTGTACTCTCCTTTTCACTTATGCATTTTCTTTCCTAATTTTGTCCTTAAATTATCAATACAACGGCTAGAAAGTACAGAGACTTTCTACATTCAAAGGAGAGTGTAGAAATCACCCACCGCTTTTTCGTATGCTATCTATCTTGTGAGGATAAAATATTCACTCTATAGGATTTGGATTCTATCCGGATCCAAATTGTGGAGATTCTAGAGATTCTCACATCTTAGTTATTTATCGTACATCGTGCGATCAGAATTTATTTGATTTTTTATTTAAAATTAAACACAAATAGTACCTAACAAAAACTGGTCGTACGATGTATGATGAACGGCTAAAATATGAGAATCTCTAAAATCCTAACAAAGAGGATCCTCATCCCACTCCATATACTTGGATAGTATAATTAGTAATTTGGTTATGTAGTATTGGGTCGTGTTAACTAATCCACAATCTAAATTACAATACAAATAAAAAAATAAACCAAAATTATAAGTGAAAAGGAAGTGGTCTGAGTAGAAATGCGAGTTGTGTGGTGTGGACCTTGTGGGTGTTTTACTTCGAAAGTATCGAAGAATGTACATGTGATGTTGAGTGGAGAAGGATTTTCATGCAATAAATTAAGGAAAACTAATGAAAATGATTTGAAAATTTGAGTTTTAATGATAAGAACAAAATAAAGGGTAAAGTGAATAGTACCAGGTTTGACTTTTTAGTGTAAAAATGTGGTTTTTCATTAAAGTGAACAGTACTGTGGGGTTTTCGTTAAAACTCCCTAAAGATTAACTATGCAGATATTTTATTTCAATCATGCACTATTTTATATAAAATTTGACATCTATAACAATGAGTGATTGATTTATAAATCCGCATTCCCGTTGTAGGTTAGTAATTTGATTTGTCGGATGAGATGGGAAGCGACGGTGGAAGAGGAAGAGAATAGCAGCAGGAGACAATGGAGTGCTCCGGAGTCCTCCACCTAATCGTACTGGGATTACTATTCGCTGGCCTTCCGACGCTCTCCTACGGAAGAGAATCGTCGTCGACGTGCTTGACGCTGTACGAACATGGTGGCGCTCCGGCGGTTTTTGAATCCCCAGAATGCCGTCAATTGAAGCATTCCGACGACTCCCAACGCACGTCGCTTTGTCAAATGGCCATGCTTCAAGGTCGAAGAAAGTACTTGGAGGATCGCACTCTCTGCGCTCTCGACGTTCGCATTCTCTTTCCTGGTGCCCCCCCCCTCTCTCTCTCTCTCTCCCCTTCTCTCTCTCTTATATGTATATATTCTCTATATAATTAGGGTTTTTCTGTAATCGTCTGAAGCTCTTGTATTATGATGCAGTTGGTGTATGCTAATTTTTGGCTGGCTTAACGGCTAACTAATTAACTTAATTTTTAATCCATGTTATGAGAACGCTGATACATATATACACATACACATATGTATATATATTGAAGAATTGAAGAGTATAATGTGATGGTTTGTGCAGGTAGAGTAGGGATTATGGAGGAGGTTAGAGTTGGAGTTGCTGCTGTTTTTGATGGTCATAATGGTGCTGAAGCTAGTGATATGGCTTCCAAGCTTTTCTTGGAGTACTTCGTTTTGCATACCTACTTTCTCCTCGATGCATCGCTTTCCGCTGAGTCATCTGAAACACCAACATTGCAAAATTGGCATGGCTTACTCGATCGGGGCCAATTGGATATTGCAAGGTTCTATTTCTAAATTGTCATATAAATAATTACTCTGTATATAGCTACTATTAAGTTATTTACTAGTTCTTGAGTGATGATAATTGCTGGTGTCTCCGTTTCATGGTAGCAAGTTATTGGATTTAGAAATAGTGATATTTATGCATAGTTCATTAATGAATTCTCAGGTTTAAGCATTCGTTGCAAGCAAACCTTGACCATTCTTTTCGTTTCGACATCTTGAAAGAAGCACTGTTGAGGGCAGTTCACGATATTGATGCAAAGTTTTCTAAGGTATATATATCTCTCTTCTAATTGTTTCATGTTCTTACTATTGTATTGAGGTTCCTGCTGTTCATTTTTTAAGGCTGCATTTATGGAGAATCTAAATTCCGGTTCTACTGCCACAATTATACTACTTTTGGATGGTCAAATCTTAGTTGCCAATATTGGAGACTCAAAGGCCTTTTTGTGCTCGGAAAAATTTCAAACTCCTGCAGAGGCTAAAGGTACTTTTCTTTCTTTTTTCAGTGTAAAGGCGCATCTCTTTTAGGTAACATGGTTTATTGGGAACTTTATGTGATGTTTCTTCTCTCTCTCGCTCTCTTAAAATCATGTATTTTTCTGCATGCATGTATGGATCATTGAGCGTGAGACTATTTAGTTTATATGTGGAAAGATTAAAAGCACGACAGAGGTTAACCTTTTGATGTTTGTGGTTATTGCAGCTGCGTATTTAAGATTGTACATGGAGGAAAGGCGTAATGGTGTTGTCTCACATCGATGGCGCAATAAAAACTTTGAATTAGCTCCCACGGATGAGTTGACGCATTTATCTGTTAAGGAATTGACAAGAGATCATCATCCGGACAGAGACGATGAAAAACGTAGGGTGGAAAGTGCTGGTGGAAATGTTTTTGAATGGGCTGGTGTGCCTCGAGTAAATGGTCAGCTGGCTGTTACCCGATCTATTGGCGACATCTCCTTTAAAAGGTAAGAAGTTAAAGAATAATAGGATTATTTTTAAAGTTTGCATTCCTTCTTTTCTTGCTATTGATCGAACAATGAAATCAAAAGATGTTTTGACATGTAAAAATAATTTAAGTTGCTCTTGCCTGTCATCAGTTTTGGCGTTGTATCAGAACCGGAGTTGACAGATTGGCAACCCCTGACTGTAAATGATACATATCTCGTGGCTACATCTGACGGAGTTTTTGAGAAGCAGAGCTTGCAGGATGTTTGCGATCTGTTGTGGGAAGCACGAAGTCATCATCCTACGAAATTGGAGCTCTCTTCGGCAGGTTCATACTCATTAGCTGACCGTATTGTAAGTACTGCATTTGAAAGGGGCAGTATCGATAATATGGCAGCTGTTGTAGTTCCATTGGCATCTTCTGGTTTATCTCAACCGGAGCCATTGCTACGTGTTTTCTCATTTGCAGCTAACAACTCCTCTTTAGTTCGTATAGGGTAGATCAGTTATATGTTTTGCATTCTTTCGCAGCTCGCTTGTTTTTCTCTCTCATACAAGAAAATATGTCAATCAAACATACATACGTTAGACATGACTTATACAAAACATTTGTTTTGTGATTGATTCGACTGTTAAGATTCAGCTAGCGCTAAATCATCTGGAGCTTTACTATAAACTTTGATTGGCTAAGATTATTTAGCTTCGATAACATGCTTAGTACATACATGTTTCAAGCGACGATGAAGCATGAAGATCATTTATGTGTATGATCGACCAACATAACGATATGCACAGTCGTGAAATCTGTGTAGAGCGAAATCCAAGACCGACTTAGCTCTACGCAAATTTCAGTCGTCGACGCAACTTCATTGATTGAGCTAGCCTTTGTAACATGTGATCTTCTTGTTGCTTCTACTTGTTAGTTGTGACTTGTATGGCAAGGCAAGCTTGTGAAGTTGCTGCTTGTTAAAACATGTGTTTTCTATGTGTTTAAATTTATCAAGATAGTATATGAACTTAAAATCCCTTACTTATAATTAAGAAAAAATTTCACTAATAAGTAGCATTAAAATGATAATTAAAAATGCTAAAAAATAATAAATTATTATTAAGGAAAACTAATGAAAATGACTTAAAAACTTTGCGTTTTAAAGAAAATGACAAAATAAAGGGTAAAGTGAATAGTACCAGGACTGACTTTTTAGTGTAAAAATATGGTTTTTTTTGTTAAAGTGAACCGTACCGGGAGCTTTTCGTTAAAGCTCCCTTATTATTATTTATTATTATTATTATTATTTGTTACTCCAAAAATATTACGATAAAGATATAATAACTTACTGAAATTATACAGCCAACAAAATTTGTGTTTCCTATGTTTGTTTAAATTTATTACCTCTGATCGTTTTTGGACACGAGTAATACAAGGAGATCATCTATTTAAACCATATTTTGTAAAATGTTTTGGCCGCCAAAATTTGTGCTGAATTTTGTTTCTAATTGAGATAACTTCTTGAAAAGTTTTATCATGTTTTTTAGTTTTTCTTTCTTTTCATTGTTCCTTTTATGTAAAAGAAAATGCCTTGAATAAACGCATTATTTTTCTAAAAGCTATACAATGACATGGTACAGGACATTTTTTTTCACTTTTTACCCCAAATTTAAGATCTCCACGTCATTTCCCAAAATCCTCAAACCGGACAATTTTGACACACCTCCAATTGATGATGTGTTTTTGTTTATCGCAACGAAGTATTTATACTTAGAGGCAAGAGTCTAACATGAATAAATTAGTTTCAAACTTGTTATCCATGATAGTATCTAAACTTAAAATCTCTTACTTATAACTAAGAATAAATTAGTTTCAAATTTGTTATCTATGATAAGTAAAAATGTTAAAAAATGATTTATTTGTTGTAGGCCTATTTAACTGAGCTATTCTAAGGGAATATAGAGAGGGAGGCTGGTGGTAGTGAGAGAGAGAAGAGAGAGATTTAATTGTGAGGATTGTTGTATCACCCCTGTTGTGCCTTTATTTATTGTAGTATGAAAGGTAAAATCCTTACCTTTTTTAGGATTACAACTCTTAATAGGTAATAAACTCCTAATAGAAATATAAGAGATGTTCCTAGATCCACTAGGATTTACACAATCACATTCTTATTCTAAATATGACTGCAACACTCTCCATTGAGTGTGTAAATACTCAAACAAACATCACATCAGATCTTTAACAGATGAGGTAGAACAGTTGATGAAGTCGGCGACATAATGGGTGAATGTGAGTCTCAAATTTAAAGAAAGTGTGCATTGGTAGTAAAACTCACAAACCTCGCTATGGTAAAACCTAAGATAGGTGAAAACTCATAGATTAAGAAGAAAAGTGAGAAGTATGCATGATGTCTAAAACAAACGTCAAACATGACGGAAGTAGTGAACTCAACGGAATATGATCATCCCAGGATGGGTGCCTCATCAAAACCTCGTTAGGTAACAAAAACTCAATGGAAAAAATGCTCATAATCATAGGAAAAAGAGTACATTAAGATTAAGTGAGTATGTTTCAGGATAATCCCCATGAGTTAGACATAACTTTCAAATAAGAGAACTACAAGCGATTCAATTAAGATAATTTACGCACATCGATTCCTTGGACGAGCTTCTGAAAAGTAGACTTGGGCAATGACTTGGTGAAGAGATCGGCTAAGTTGTCTTGGGAACGTATTTGCTTGACTTTAATGTTTTGATGTTGTTGTTGTTGGTGGTGAGAATAAAATAACTTTGGCGCTATGTGCTTGGTGTTGTCTCCCTTGATGTATCCCTTTTTTAAATGCTCGATACATGCTACATTATCTTCAAAGATCATTGTAGGAAGGTTAACGACAGAAGTAAGACCACTAGTGCTTCGAATATGTTCCATAGCTACTCTCAACCAAAAGTACTCATGCGATGCTTCATACAAGGCGAGAATCTCAGCATGGTTCGAAAAAGTCGCAACTAGTGTTTGCTTGGTAGACCTCCAAGATATATCAGTGTCTCCAATGGTAAAGACATAGCTCATTTGAGAACGTGCCTTATGGGGGTCAGACAGATATCCAACATCTGCATAACCAACAAGGCGGGAATCAATCTAAGAACCGAGGGGGCAACAACACTCGAAGATTCACGGATATAGAACAAGCCCAAATCCGTCGTACCCTTAAGGTAGGGAAAATGTCTTTAACACCATTCCAGTGTCTGTGTGTGGGTGTATTGATGTATCTAGCCAAAAGATTAACAACGAAGAAGATGTCGAGTTTAGTGCATTGAGCCAAGTACAATAAAGCCCCAATGCACTTAGGTATGGAACTTTGGATTCCAAAATCTCTTCCTCATCCTCTTTTGGACGAAAGGGATCTCGTTGAGTATCTAAAGTCCGAATGACCATAGGTGTACTCGAAGGCTTCGTTTTATCCTCATTAAAACGTCGCAACACTTTTTGGGTGTGGTTCGATTGATGTACTATGATTCTATCCAAACAATACTCAATCTCCAGGCCGAGACAGTATCGAGTTTTCCCAAGATCTTTCATCTCAAATTTTGATTTCAAGTGCGCAACAATTTCCTCAAGCTCTGCAGAAGTTTCGATGAGGTTCATGTCATTGACATAAACTGCAATGATTGCAAATCTGGAATGTGACTTCCTTATGAACACGTATGGGCATAATTTGTTGTTCACATAACCCTGCATTGTTAAATATTCACTCAGACGGTTATACCACATCCGCCCGGATTATTTCAATTTGTAGAGTGATCTCCTCATCTAATCGAGAGAGTGTTCCGTAGTCTAGAACTATTTAAACTAGTCAATGGAAGTCTTTCTGGAACTTTCATGTAGATTTCCGTATCTAGATCCCTATAGAGATACGTGGTTACCATGTCCATAAGCTGCATATTCATTTTTTTAGAAACTACCAAACTGATTAGGTAGCAAAACGTTATGACGTCCATTACGGGGGAATACATCTCCTCGTAATCAATCCCAAGGCCCTGAGAGAAGCCTTGGGCTACGAAGCGTGCTTTGTATCACACTATTTCATTCTTTTCATTACGCTTCCTCACGAAAACCCACTTATAGCTAACATGCTTTATACGTGGTGGTGTAGGAACAATAAGTCCAAACATTTTACATTTCGCGAGGGAATCGAGTTCGACCTGAAGTGCTTGTTTCTAGTTTGACCAATTTGTTCTACGTTGGCATTCATCAATAGAATGTGGTTCAATGTCATCGCTAAGCATGATGTCAGTAGCTACTGTGTACATAAATGCATCATCAACTATCATCTCATTCCGATTCCAAACCTCATCCAATACTGCGTAGTGGACTGAAATCTCACGATTTTTAGGATGCCGGTTTGTCTCGTCTAAGACATCACCGTAATCTAGAATAACCTCATGTGTTAGAATAGATGAGTGAGTGATGATTGGATTCAAACTAGGGTCACTAGTTGGTGCCGATTTCCTCTTCCGAGGTTGTGAATCCTTTGAACCTGGGGGTCTGTCACGCTTCAAGGTCGGAGCAGATGATTGGCTAATCGTCAATGTACCATGCTGGGAAGTTGCAGTTTCCCTACCTTCAGAGACAATCTAGCCTTCCCAGGCGGTATTGTGACGTATGTGGGGTACATATATCCTTGCAGGTGCGTTTGCAGCGGGTATATATGATATTGTCACCTTTGCTAGATCATTAAAATCATCTGGCATGAGCAATGCTCTGAAGATCTATAATTCATCGCACCTCAGTTTCAGACTGGGTAATGTGGTGATCTAAATGAGACATAATGGGAGTATACCATGACAATTCGCGGCGTTCTCTCTAAAAACGTTAGCATGTTTATCTTCCCCTAACGACGAGAAGACTGTCTCATGAAAGTGACAATCCGCAAAATGTGCGGTAAAGAGATCTCCTGTCAAGGGTTCTAAATAGCGAACAATTGATGGTGAATCATAACCAACATAGATTCCCATTTTTCTCTGATGACCCATTTTGGTACATAGTGGCAGCGTTATTGGCACATAAACTATGCACCCAAGTATACGTAAACGCGAGACATTAGACTCGTATTCAATAACCAATTGTAACGGTGAATGAGGTTGGGTAGTGGTGGGCCTCAGGCGGACCAGCATAGCTGCATGCAATATTACATAACCCTATACAGACACTGGTAGTTTGGTTCGCATAACCAAAGTCTGAGCTATCAATTAAAGGCGCTTTATGAAAGTTTCTGCCATGCCGTTTTGGGTGTGAACATGGGGTACAAGATGTTCCACATCAATCTTTACTGACATGCAATAATCGTCAAAAGTCTGTGACGTAAATTATCTAGCGCTATCCAGTTGAATAGACTTGATCGGATAATCAGGGTGGTGAGCCATTAGCTTAATAATTTGTGCTAGGAGTTTCGCAAATGAAGCATGGCATATGGACAAAGGCAAACATGTGACCATCGTGTCGATGCATCAACCAACACTATAAAGTATCTAAATGATCCGCATG